ATATGCACACAAATCTTTGGATATTTCTATGCTTAGAACTCACATTGGTGAGGGTGAAGACCTGTCACCGTACATTATTTGTTTGTTTATAGTATTTCTATGTCATTCAACTCCAAAACTGCTCTGTGTTTATTATTATTTCCACCCACACCAAGCAAGTTCAAATTCCTCCTTCCTCTCTGATTTCTTTAGGAGGTTCTCGTATCAAAAATCCTCAGCTGTTTAGACTTCAGGTTAGCCTTCTTAAAAAACCTGCTCTGACCTGGGAATGGTCTTCCATTTTAAGTTTGCAGCTACATTTCTATAAGAAGAGCTGTGGAGAAGAGTACTAAAAAACCATCACAGTTCTTCTAGGAGAGAATGGGATGAGATGGAATAATTCAGCACCTTTGGGTCATGTTTCTTCACAAGAAATATCATTACAGACTATCCATAGTGTAATCTAGGATACGATATATGCCCAGTGCATCTTTGTGATCTGCTTATTGTATTATATCATGTGAACCCAGAAAATTGGGCCGAAAAGCCCATGGTTTAGTTAAACTGCGTCCAGACACTGCCAGAATGTTAGAATTTAGTTGAGCCCATGGGAAATTCAACAGCATTGGCCTTCATTTTGCCTAAATTTTGGCAGGGAAAAGAGAAAACACAGGAGAGGATGTGGGCCTGGCAAACTCAAGGATTCAGACAGGAAAGGCAATGAACAAAAAGTACCTTCAAAAGATAGAGAATGACGGCAATTTCTTGCAAACCACAGAGAGAAGCAAAACGTTGGACCAGTAAGGAGGAGGAGGAGGAACACTCAGCTAATATCCAGCCCAAATTTTTCTAAAGTCTGTTTCATGTGAAAGAATCAGAGAAATTGCAAAGTGAGCAAGTGTGGAAGGAAAGAACTACCTGAGAGCCATGCGTAATGATGTTATGAACAAAGACTAATTTTGACAGCAGCAGAGGCTTGTAAGCCACTTGCAGCTTTTGGTCAGGTTGGAGCCAAAATTGTGTAAATAGTATTAATGAATGAGCAGAAATTCCACACGTAGACTATGTTGAAGATTAATGAAGAGTTGAAACAGATGTTTTAAGAAATCCAACTTTTTGCTACTAGCGTTTCCTTTTCTAACTTTTTAGCAAATAAATATTTATCTCAATAGTATTCATTCACAACAAGCCTTGTCCTAGTGAGCTATTGGAGTTATGAGGATGAAATGGTCTTTTGAGCTGTTTGCCTTCACCTCCCTCTGTAAGGAAGAAGAGATTATGGTTTTCACCCAGGATGAAAGACAGAGGTAGCTTGCAGCTACAATAGTTAATTCATAAGATACAAAGAAAGAAAAATAAATCCTGCCTTATTCATTGAAAGTTATTTCTCAGTTCAATAAATCACTGATTCTTCTGTGTTTTTGAACAAACTTGTCATAAAAGCATTGATTGGGGATTAGGAAGAAGAGCTGAATAACTTTTGGCTTATTCTGGTCAATACATGTGAAAAGTTACCTCTGCTGCTCCGGCTGGTTTCTTACCATTCCCTCTTAATCAGACATTGATGGTGCTTGCATGCAGTCAGAAATGTTTTGGTCCTTTAATTTGTCAAGAGCTACTGCAAACTCAGCTCCTCTTTGTCTAATTTAAGGCTAGGCTGCAAAAATCAAAAGAACCACAAGAGGGTAGGAAAGAGTTTGTCTTTTCTTTTAGCTCATTGCTGCTTTTCATAGGCCCCCTGCACCTTGGCAACCAAGATGTTGTTTGAGCCTCAAGATTGTATGAGCTGATTAAGAAATGCATAGGGTGAAGGGGTGAAGGCAGAAGTGCTCATGGGTAAATAATGTAGCTACATTCATAATAATATTGCATTAATGGGAATGAGTTTGTAGTGAAATTGACACTCAACGGAGACCTCTGTTTAACACTGGGACATACATATGGTACCATTTCATTTGGATAAACCTCAAGGTTTTTTAAAAAATTAAAGGCATGTTTTTGTATATGTAATTGAGATCAAATTGGAAAATAGTGCATTTTAATAACGTGTTTTTTCTAGTTGTTTATAATAATAGACAGTTTTCCTAATATGTTGCCTTCCAAATGTTTTAGTTTAACCAATCACATTACTAAGTCAGCTTAGCCATATGAGTTATATAAAAAGATGATGGGAACCATAGCCCAAAAGTTGAGAAAAATCTATTGTATAGCAACATATCCAAACTCCTCATTAGGATATTACCATTAGTTAACCAAAGTCATAAAATACCACGCCTCAAAATCCACCAGAGATTTTCCACCTTTAATTCACATACCTGGTGTGTGATCTAGGCATCCTAGATTTATGGCTCCTCCTTGAAAAGCAGATGCAGCCATGGCTTTGTGGGCTACTGTTCAAATTCACCTTGAATGGCAGTTGTATCCATTCCGTGATCAAGAGTCCCTACTGCCAGTCACTCAAGTCCAGATTATTTCCTGTCTGGATTACTACAAAGTGCTCTACATGGGTTCCACCTGAAGACCACTAGGAATCTACAGCTGGTCAGGAATGCAGCAGTAAGGGTAGTTATATACAGACCTCAGTACATCTATGTAGCACTTCTCTGTGAACTGTGTGGTGCGATACTATACAATATGATACACTATACCAGTGATGGCGAACCTTTTAGAGACCGAGTGCCCAAACTGCAACCCAAAACCCACTTATGTATCGTCGGGTGCCGGGTGGGCATGGCCCATTGGGTGGGTGTGGCCATTTGGGTGGGCGTGGCCCATTGGGTGGGCGTGGCTGCGGTGGTAATGGCAGACTGGGTGGGACTAAAAAGTTCAATCAATTTCAACTTTGAGAGATTTTTTTTCCCCATGAAAAGTTGAAATTGATTGATTGATTGAACCTTTTTTTTGTTTTTGCACACGGCGGCAGAGGCCTAAAGTGAAAAGGTTTTATAAAACCCAGCTGAAGGCCTAGGACTGGGGCGATGGTGCGCGTGCCCACAGAGAGGGCTCTGCGTGCCACCTGTGGCACGTGTGCCATAGATTTGCCACCACAGCACTATACTATATACTATAACTATACTATATACTATAACTATAATATGTACTATACTATACTATACTATACTATACTATACTATACTATACTATACTATACTATACTATACTATACTATACTATACTATACTATACTATACTATACTATACTATACTATACGGTTTCCAGGTGCAATTGAAGATTCTGGTTATTAGCTTCAAAGTCCTTCATAGCACAAGGCCTACTTATTTGGTTAGGCACTAGGCTAGAATCCAGGAGACTGTGAGTTCTAGTCCTAACTTAAGCATGAAAACTGGCTGGGTGAGTTTGGGTCAGTCACTTTCTCTCAGCCCAACTCGTCTCACAGGGTTGTTATTCTGGGGAAAATAAGACAAAGGTATGTTGGATATGTTTGCAGCCTTGAATTATTTGTAAAAATAATGAAGATGGGATATAAATGAAATAAATTATGGAGTAGTCAATAGCCAATTATCTCTGTCCATCTGAAGAAAATCTGACAGGATTGGTGTCCTTTGGGTCCTATTTCTTAAGGAATGTCGTCTTATGGGGGGGCAGGAAATGTGCCTTTTTTGTCACTGCATATGCCCGATGGAGTGCTATTTCCGCCAAAATTTGGATGGCCCCAACCTTGTATATCTGTCATTTGTAATATCTTGAAGATCTGGTTTTCCACCAGCTATTGGGTTAGGGGGCTTTGGGAGGCCATCTGGATGGATTGTCTCAATTACTGCACTGCCTCTGGTGTACCTTATTATATTTTGTTATTGTTTTGGGTGTTATTGTTTTGATTGTACTTTGCCCTGAATCATTTGGGATTATTGTTCTCTACCCTACGTTATTTGGGATGAGAGTTGTAGAATGTTTATTTGTTAGGCATGAATTAGGAAAATTCATCTTCAGATGTGTTGAGAATTGCATAAATCATCAGAAAGCTCATATCTATGTTCACGGATATGGCAGAATAGATACATTCATAAAAAGTGAACATTCTCATGATTGGGTAAATAAAGGATTATATCTAGAGATATATATCTCAGATTATTAGAGCTGAGGCAGTTTGCAACTGCAGGCACATATGGCACTTCTAGTTGCAGAAAAATTTGAATCTGAATGTGTAAGACAGTGATGGCAAACCTTTTAGAGACTGAGTGCCCCAAAACTGGCCTCACCCCCGCTCCACCCCTTGCCCCACCCTTACCCCGCCTGCCTGCAGGGCCACTCACCGCCTCCAGGGCCCGCCGCAGATCGCCCAGGCAGCCCAGCAGCGCCATGGCGGCCACGCCCTCTGCCCATGCCCCACAGCATCAACTATGCGGGATGGGGCGTGAGGGCAGAGTCTTGTCTACGCTGCCTGGCTGCCATGATCTTGGCTGTGCTGCTCCGTGTGGGCCACGCTCGGGGGCGACTCTCCTCCAGGGGGCTGCTGGTGAGGAGGGGGGTCATGGGGTGAGGCGAGGCTGGGGCAATGGCACGTGTGCCCACAGAGAGGGTTCCGAGTGCCACCTCTGGCACGCATGCCATAGATTCGCCACCACTGATGTAAGACATGCAGGCATAAATAAGTATCCATAAATTGTAATAGAAATTATTTGAGAACTTCATACTATTTAAAAAAATCTTTTTTAGGCATCATTCTGTTGAGGAACCCTTACATGTTAATAGAATTCCCAGGTTACAGAGTGTTCCAGCAGGCACTGAACTCTCACAGATTCAAAGTATAGCATGCATGTTTTATTAATGTACTTTGACTCACCAGTAGCAGCTTGTAGCCATTCTTCTTCTCTTAACTCTGTCTCCATGCCCATGCACATTGAAGCTAAGTGTCACTTTATCCCCATTCATGAGATTGCTCTTGTACATGATTGCTTATTCAAGAAGAAGTATACAGTCATGCACTTCCATTTTTACCAGGGCATGGACAGAAAATATATATTAATTATTTCATTCTCTTTTTGTGTGTCTCTAATAGTTCAAAAGAATGCTGAACCGTGAATTAACCCACCTCTCTGAAATGAGCCGTTCTGGAAACCAGGTGTCTGAGTACATTTCCAACACCTTTTTAGGTAAGTGTATGGAAGTATGTTTTTAACATTGCCACAAACCTACTGCACCTACAATCCATGTACATTCTTTGAAAAAAATATTATGCAATATTGTAAACAGTATCTATTCTACATTATTTTTCAATCAAATGCAATCAGGCAGTTTGCTAAAAAGAAAACATTCTTTTTAAGGTTCACAAGTGAGATATATTTTTGTACAGTAAGGCAGAATAAGAGATAAAGAACGTAATTGACATTAACCTTTCTTCTCATTGCTCAAAGTGATAATAGTTTAGCTCTCACACTTTCGTAAGCTATTCCCCAAGAAAAAGTCATATAAATAAATAAGTTAAATAAGAAATCGCATCAACACCTTTAGTAACATAAACTTATATTGTGAGTAAAAGTTCTGGTAAAGGGATAGGATAGGATAGGATAGGATAGGATAGGATAGGATAGGATAGGATAGGATCTTGGAGGTCTTCTAATCCAACCCCCTGCTCAGGCAGGAATCCCTATACCATTTCAGACAAATGGTTGTCCAATCTCTTCTTAAAAACTTCCAGTGTTGGAGCATTCACAACTTCTGGAGGCAGGTTGTTCCACTGATTAATTGTTCTAACTGTCAGGAAATTTCTTCTTAGTTCTAGGTTGCTTCTCTCCTTGATTAGTTTCCATCCGTTGCTTCTTGTCCTGCCCAAAGCAGGAATGTAATTATACTCTATTGTTATAAACACTGATGGCAATGCCTATAGTTCTTTAACATTGATAATTTACCTGGAGTATAATAAGGAAAACATAATTGCTAAATCTTACATGTTCTTCCACATCTAACAATGAATGATTCTCTGAAAGCCATCTGCCTTTCATTCTGGGCTGTTATTATATTATTTCCTTAGAGTTAAGCCAAAATAGGGGTTTGCTTCCATTTAATGTTTCTTCCTGCATATCCCAAAAGCCCTCCATCTCAGAGGTTGGGAGGAACAGTTTGGACAAGGACAAAAATATTCGTCGTGGGAGGAATAAGTGACAGTCCCTAGCCCCAGTGCAGTTTGTTTCCTCGTGACTCATCCTATGCAAATGTGCTTGAGGTTGCGTGTTCCAATGCACGTCCCATAGAAAGTAATATCATGAGCACAGAGAACATCTGCAGGCAGGTGTGCTTCTGTGACGCTCTCCGCAGTATGCGAAGTGCTGTAGACAAGGAGCATCCCAAGTGCTGAGGCAGCATAGTTGCCTTGGCAACACAGAGATTCCCACTCCTCCCTTTACCAGCTTAAAGATTTGGTTTTGTTTGCACTTATTGATGTCATCTTACAGCCAAATCTGATTGGCTGAAGTCATTTGAAAAGAAGAAAGCCCACTGAGGGAAAAATATAGCAGAGACTAATTGCAAATTGTTACTACAGTAAAATCCTTCCTCTCCCACTCTCCCACTGCTAAAGCATTGTTGTGCAGGGATAGATAGCACCAGGCATAATCATGTGATGAAGCCCAAACAGACACAACTCTTCCCCAGCTTCTTCATATACTGATGAACACAGAGTTTTTCCCTCCAATTTCCAGAAGGAATTCAATTCAAATTCTGCTGCTCTGCACAGATTCATTTGTACCTGTCTCAGAATGCCAATCGCTGGGTATTAGGCAAGAAGAAAGACTGTGCTCACAGGTTTCTCCTTCCCCTTTCAACCCGCTCTCCTAACAACCGGCTAAGTAAATGTTTGATAAGATAGCAGAAGTACACACAGGGGTTTGGGCAGTTGGATACCTCCCATACAGTGCTCCCTCCCAAGCACACTTGTAGCAATCATATTAGCATCAGTAGGAAATTGAGGGTGGGGCCGAAACTGGCTGGGAATTCTGGAAGGCACCACATTGGAGAAAGGGTGAAGGCATAATGTAAATGTTAGAATCAGAAAGTGTTGATAGCTCCTTTGGGGTCTCTGCTTAATATCAGATAATCTGAATCTGCAGCAAAAATTTTAGTTTCCAACTCTTATTTGGTACATAATGATATCCAGGAATTCAGGTTCCTGGATTTCACAGCTGGATCATGCCATGATTTTTCCGTTCAGAGACAAACAAGCAATCTGGAAGAGGTTTTCTCTGAAGTAAGCTCCACTCAGATTAGTGGGACTTACTGTCATATAAATGAGCATAAGGATGCCGCCTGTAGCTTCATTCTTGAACATATTTACTTGAGAGCAAATCTTTACATGACTTATTTTGCTAGTAAATCCAACAAGGCATAGAATTAGTCTGTCGGGCAGTTTTCTCATCTTATGCACACAAATCTAAGCAGGTTGTTCTCCAACCTCTGTAAATGTGTAAACATTGTGTTTACATAAAAACGAAATAAGTACTGCATTTGTATGTGGAACTATACATGATTATCTTAGTATTTGCAGAATCAGAGGCCTTGTCATACAGTATATGACTCCCCCAAGGGCTGCAGACTTCCTGAATCAGACAGGATAGCTAAGAACTGCAGTCATCTGAAACAAACTCATGGGTGCTTCCTGTCCACTGCATTCTCCAGAAAGCAGGCCTCCCATTGACGTCAGTGGATGCAAATACCCAGCCCTAAGCAAATGTTGATGCAAACCACCACTTCAATGGAGGCCTTGTGTGAGAGCTGGAACATGGGCTGAAAACGGAGGCCAAGTATCAGTTGAGCAAGGGCCAGAATTCACCCTCCCTGCTCCTCCTGAGCAGCTGTGGCATGGTCTGCCAATGTCATGTGATGAGGCAGTGCCAGGCCACAGTGGTGCAAAAGAGATAGTGAAATCCCATTACTGAGCTTAGCTGATTGACTTCACAAACACTCATCCCTTGCCCCGTGAGAGATCTTCCCAATATGGAATTGCTGTGAAAAGAAGAGATTTCAGACAGAGCAGATGGGGAGGACCTATACCAGTTTAGCTGGCTTGGCCCCATGCATTGGAGCTTTGGAACTGTTTCTATGTTGGCAGAAGAAGTTGTGTTTGGTAGGTCAGCCTGGGAATTGCCTGAGCACTTGGATTTCATTCTTGGCTATGGCACCAAAGCAGAACTGAGTGATTGGTAGGAAATGGACAGAGTGACTGGTTGTTCGTGGCTGAGGGCTAGAAGCAGAGCTTGTTAGTTGAGGTGAGGAAAGGAAAGGAGTCAGAATTCCTAAATTTATTCTCAACTTTTTATTCCGAATTTGCCTCAGCCATAAAGATACACTTGCACAGATGCTTATTTGCCTCAACCTCATGAAGTGTCCTGAGATGATAGAATTCCACAATACTGAGGCAGCCTATTCTTCCAGATCCTCAAGCTCCCAGGCAACCCCTTGAATCTGCTTGATCATTTATGAAACAGATGAGATTGCAGATGTACTTGAGCTGTTTTTTTGCCACAGGGAAGCTAATTCTTCCTATAGGTCGTCTTCCAGAGTCTGACCACCATCTTAGTCTAAGCAAAGGACATCCCCATTTTTGCCAAACATGGTAGAACTCTGGCTCCAGAGTTATTCAAAGCCTTTTCAGGTGAACTTGGAGGAAGACGAGAATATTGGGGACTCTGTTTGGGGCAGTATTTGAAAGAGTTCAGATGTATGGCAGTTGGCTTGAATATTCTGTTGTCACAATCCTTCTTCCTAGTAACTTAGAACCCAACACTCTAGAATGGTACTACAACTTATGCCCTACTTCCTCCCGGGGCCTGTTACCCGCCCCTTCCACTCTGCCATGAGGCCCCCTTGCCGCTGCTTCTCCCGCAGGTACCATTGGGGTATAGCTCTGCCATGTCATGATGCGACTCCCTCCCAGTTTCCTGTCACACTGCGCCCTCCCCATTTTCTGCCTCCCCTAGGCTCCCCCAATGTGCGCCACCTCCCCCTTGGCAGGCTATCTCCTCCCCCTGCTCCGTACTCCCAGTGGGTCCCACCCACACGTGACTTCTTGCCCTTGGAGACAGTCCTAGAAGAAGGTGGGGGAACAAGGCCCTCCACTCCTGAGGGTGAGTCTTCCCCCAAACTGCTCTACATTGTACTTGGAGTCTTCCAGTCTAGAAACCTAAATTGAACAGTTTCCCTTCCATCTTCATGAACCTAAAGTATCTTCAGAAGATGGAAAGTAGACTTAAAAATAAGTAATTTTGCATCTGTCTTCAGGATTGCGATGGAGAGTGAGCAGGGTTGTTTTCACTACCACTTTGGCCTAATGTCCAGCATTCTATTTCTCTCTTTCTCTAGAGGAGCAATAGCAGCTATTCATTTGTCTGGAAAAAGTAAAAAACTAGAGTCAGGGACAGAATTCAGACAACAGATAAATCCTGTTTGATTGGTTTGTTTATTAAAAAGGTGGATGTGTTGTGTCAATCTGATTCTGAGCACTTTTTTGTTATATCTTTAATTATATGTGTATAAACAGAAGTCTTCTAGAAGATGGAATGTATGTTGATATAAGCATCTCAGAATGGCAATTGTTGTTGAGAACACTTTATAAAAAATATAAGAACTGAAAAATATCACTGCTTATGCAGATCAGCACCCTTTCATGCTACTGCTAACTACTTTATTAAAGTAGTTAAAATTAATAAAAATAATTGTTTGACTGCTCAGGTTATTGGTACTGTCCAGTAGGTATTTATAAGACACAAAAAAAACATTTGGATGGTTTTCTGGTTCTTTTTTTGGGGTGCTGCAAAATTGGAACAGCCGGAGCTCATGATGAGACAGAACTAAATATATGAATTATAGAAAATTTGAGTCTACATATACCTTGAAGCACAATCATATTCTGAGGCTATTCTACTTTTAAAATATGGGGGAGGGGGAAATGTACAAGGGCAACAAAGAGAGAAAAAGTCTAAAAAGACAAATAAAGTAGGACAATTACACAATAAGCTCACCTCCCAAGACTCCAATAAGTATTAAGAAGTTTTAGCATTGTATCCAACCCTAGTCCCAACATTGCTGCAGTATCCTGATTTATTTATGAGAAGTTTAGCTACCAGGAATTAGGTTAAATTTCCTTTTGCTCCATAAATTCTAAGCTTTCATTCTTACATCTTTGAGATAGTAATTAAATTCCATCTGGGGAGCAATGTCATTTGGACGATGGGTGGATGAAGATAAAGCACCTGTGCCACAAATCATGACACTTGATCCAGAGGCTACTTCTCAGGTGCGGTGGTGCTCTTCCTGTTTTTCCCCTTGTCATTTCTCTCTCCGATGCAGTCTCTTTTCATCCCCAGACAAGCAGAACGATGTGGAGATTCCATCCCCAACACAGAAAGACCGGGAGAAGAAGAAGCGCCAGCAACCCATGTGTCAGATCAGTGGGGTCAAGAAACTCACGCACAGTTCCAGCCTGACCAACTCCAGCATTCCCCGCTTTGGGGTGAAAACAGACCAGGAAGAGCTACTCAGTAAGGTGAGCATTTAGCAACATGAAAAAAGCAGGGAGGGGAGTGAAGGAAGACTGTGCCCATCTTTGCAAAGGATGATTTGGAAATTGTGCTGACTGGGGAATTCTGGGAGTTGAAGTCCACAGGTCTTAAAGTTGGGAACCCCTGCTCTAGACCCTGAGAAGAGTGCCAGCTTTAATACATTTTATTTAGATTGATTTCCAGAGGCAATTTCTTCCTTGCCGAGATACAAAAGTATTTTCATCTCAGATTGTTTTTGTCTCTGAGGCAGAATTTCCGTCTAAACAGGATATTGAACTGGTACTAGAGAGTCACTTCCTCATAATTTTAGCACATTTGACAAAAAGATTTAACTATCACTGAGTTAGTTTATTCCTGTTCCATTTGGATTGAAACGTTTGGCATATTTCTCAAGCACAAGAAGACATTTGTGTGTGGGGGGTGGGGTTTTGGACTATCCTAAACAAATTACCTGAGCTAGTTTACAACAAAGGAACAAAAATAAAGAACCATGGCTGCAGAAAAGTAAATAACACAAGCACTTCTCTGCATAAAAACAAATACAGAATTAAGTGTTCATAGCCAGTAAAGTGGAGCTGAATGTTTGATGACATGTAACAGTTTATGCTAAAGAAGATGCCATTTATTTATTTAAAACCTTTATATAGTTGAATGTCTATGGAGATTCTCAGTCATCCAGGTCATGTTGTCCCAAAGGTGCTTTTTCAAGAGGCAACTGGACTTACTTGTTTTTCTTTGAAGACGTTTCACTTCTCATCTAAAAAGGTTTTTCAGCTCTGACTGGATGATGGGGAATGGAAGGATTTATAATCATTGCAGGCAGCTGGCCATTTGCATTCTTTTAGAGAGTCATTGAGGCCACTTTGAGGTTTGTCTGTGTCCTCAGGGTCATCTGAGTAATGCAAATGGGTGTGGAGTCTTCTTGGAACTGCTAAAAGGACTATGTTGTGGAGCTGTGCTTTCTGCAGGATGTTTTCTGTCCTGTGTCCCTTCAGTGTTGAACACAGGTGCAGGCTGTTGGGGATGAGTCTGTGTTATCTGCATCTCAAACTGAAGTGCAAATAGTTCTAGAAAAATTGCAGACTACAGGAACCATTTGCACTTCAGTTTGAGATGCAGACAACAAGTTGCCTCTTGAAAAAGCACCTTTGGGACATTTATATAGTTGCCCATCTTCTAGCCCAGGGGTCCCCAACACCCGGTCCATCGACTGGCACCAAGCTTCGCCATGCCAGAAACTGGGCCACGCAAACACATGAAGCCTCATCCAATGGGATGCAGGCAGCAGGTGAAACCACGCCCCATCTGGTCAAGAGAATGCCAGCCATCTCATCCAAATTCCATGAATCTCACAGACAAGGGACAGCCAGGTGACCTTCTTGAAATAATTGGGCCAGTTGACTTTAGTAAGGTGGTGCCTGATAAATCCTAGGGCTTGATCAGGATCCATCAACATAATACTCACTTGTTCTCCTGAAGACCAGCTCAGAAATAACTTTCTTGGCTTAATAAATCATAATTCATTAAACAAGTAACAATTCCTTCCCTTCTTGTCTTTGTTCTTTCAGTCCCAGTCAGTTCGCTGTAACTACTAGTGACATCCAAAACTGCGAACATTATCAGAATTCTAAATCAAGTGCAGGGTGAGCAAAAGAGTGTAGGCTTGAAATTTGCAATCCAGAAATAATATGCATAAAGAAGAGAAACACTTCTTTCCAGAAATTTGAAGTTTTTAATAACTGTTTCACTAATTTCCACTAAAAATCCTCTTAAAAAACTGATCAATACTGTAACGCGGCAAGTCAGTAAGGTTATTAGGCTGCTAGCTTCTAGTCTTAGGTGAACTAATTTGAAATGGTGTAGAATCTCCTGCAGGGAGATAGGCAGGGAGTTAGACTGGAAGGCCTCCAAGGTCCTTGCATCCCTATTATTCTATGGTCTAAGTTCTAATTATATTTTCATATTCCTATAGATATTGTTCATATCTAATTAGTTATATAATTACGTAATATCAATTTAGATTCATGCCAATTATTTTTGAAATATTAAATTCAAAAATAAGGATAGACTGCCACATAGCAATCAGTTTTAAGATAAAATAACCTTTATTGTCATTTTTTACTGAGCATACTGACACACATTAAAAATCAAATTCTGTTGCCTGCTCTCAAAAGAAAGTATATATCAACCCATACACATACACAACACACATATACATATGATACACACAAACACACACACACATATATACTGATCACTATCCATTTTGAATAAATAGTGGAAAAAGGAAACTTGAGAGTTCACAAGGTTGAAGCTGTATGGAACAAAACTGTGGCTGAATCTGGATGTTCTGCTTCAGACACCATGAAGCCTCCTCCCAGAAGGAAAACAGGTCGTGAAGAGGATGCATAGTGTCCCAGACATCCTGCAGACCTTATTCAAGCAACCCTTATATGCTACGCCGTGGACAGAAGGAAGTGAACTACCAATAATCTTTTTTGCCACCTCACCACTCTGCACCGACTACCTGTCTGAAGCAGTGATGCTACCAAGCCAGATTGTAATGCAATATGACAGAATGCTCTCAGTTGTCCCTCTATAGAAAGTGGTAAGGACAGGGGAAGGAAGAGGTACTTTTCTCATGTGACGCAAAAAATGCAGGTACTGTTGTGCCCGCTTCACCAGTGTCTCACTATTGAGTGACCAAGCTAGCCTATTTGTTAGTTGCACAACCAGATATTTGATGCTGCTAATCACGTCAACAGGTGAATCATTAATACACAGAGGTGTGTGGCTGTGCCCGGTTTTTTTTAAATCAACAATGATCTCTTTAGTTTTTTCCTATGTTTAAAATGAGGGTGTTTTTGTTACACCTGTTCACCAAACCCTCTACCTCCTTGTGGTAAGCACCCTCACTGTCATCCTGAATAATGCCTACTACTGTTGTATCATCCGCATACTTCACAATATGGTTGGTGGCAAACCTTGAACAACAGTCATGGGTCAACAGGTGAACAACAGCGGACTTAGGACACAGCCCTGAGGAGAACCTGTGCTCAAGAAAATAGTGTTAGAAATATTAATCCCAACTTGCACATACTGGGGCCCATCAATAAGAAAATCAAGAATCCAGTTGCACAAAGGAGTATTAAAGCCTAAAAGAGTGAGTGTGTCTACTGCATGCGGAGAAATGATTGTATTAAATGTCGAACTGAAGTCGACAAACAGCATTCGCACATAGGTATTTCTTTCCTCTAAATGTGCCAAGCTCAGATGGAGAATAGAAGGAATAGCATCCTCTGTAGAGCGATTTGGACAGTAAGCAAACAGAAGCAAGTCAAATGCTGGAGAGAGGCTGGATACAATAATGTCCTTTATCAAGCTCTCAAAACATTTCATAATGATGGATGTAAGTGCAACCAGACGGTAATCATTGAAACCCATAATTGTAGATGTTTTTGGCACTGGCAAAATAATGACCGTCTTAAAACACGATGGGACCACTGCCTGCTGCAGTGAAAGATTGAAAATATCTGTAAGAACGCAAGCCATTCATCTGCACATTTCCTGAGAACATGCCCAAGGATATTATCTGGGCCCGCTGCTTTCCAAATGCTAACTTTCCGTAATGTTCTCTGGACAGAGATAACATCAAAGCTAAGCACTTCATCAGGATGGGGCACAGCTTTCCTCACAAGGGTGCTATTTGATGCCTCGAATCTTCCAAAAAATGTGTTCAGCTCATTTAAAATCTCTTGTGTTGCCCTTACCACACAATAGAGCTACCTTATAGTCTATAATGCCTGGTGTTTGTTGGGTCCTGAAAAAAGTTCTGAACTTTCTGACAATGGGCTTGCTCTGCTCTTTTTATGGTGCTTTTCAAATTGACTCTGGCTGTTCCAAATGTCAGCATATCCCCAAATTTAAAAGCCACATTCCGTGCTTTCAACATCTTATGAATCACGTATGTCAGCCATTGTTTTTCATTAGCCCTCACAACAATGTTTTTAAGGACACAGACACCCTCAATGCACTTTTGAATATATGCAAACACAGTGATAGCATACTCCTCTACATTTATATGTTGGTTATCTGTTGCCGCTTCTTTAAACATGCCCCAATCCATGCATTCAAAGCAATCTTGTAATGCTTCTGTATCTCCCTCCACTCAAGCCCTCACTTGCTTCACTGTAGGTTTCTCTCCAAGTAATAAAGTCTTATATGCTGGGTTAAGCAGCACAAAGAGATAGTCAGAAGAGCCCAGGTGAGGGTGGGGATAGTTTTGAATGCTGATGTTAGAATAAGTAAGGTCCAGTTTATTCCCCCCTCTGTTGCAAAGTCTACATATTGATGGAAATGGGGGAGACTAGCTTTCAAATCAACTTGATTAAACTCACCACTATAATAAAAGAACCCTCCAAGTAAATAGTTTGTAAGTTACTGATAATCATACCATCAGAGAACATTCAGAGCCTCATCTCTGTTTGCACAAGGAGGAATATACACTGCTGTAATAATGCTAACAGAAAATTTATTCAGACAAATTGCATTTTATGAATTGAACCAATAATTTTGAATTAATCTTGGTCTTTTCTCTGTATTTCCATGGTGTATAAATCTTCATTTTCTTATTTTACTCTGTACTAGCAAATTATACCTTGGTTCTTGCAGGCTACATCAGTATTGATATCCCCTGACCATACCCAGCTAATACCTTCTATTAATGAGAAAAAAATGTGAAAAAGCATTATAACGAATGAAATTACTTTGTTCCTTTTTCTATACAAATGAGTAATTAAATCAGGAAATGCTTGTTTTGGTTCCTCATGTTCTTCAAACCAAGAAACTGGTTGATACTCTCTAAACAAACCAAAATATGAAGCTATAATTTATTTTTAGCTTAATGTCTTGACTTGTTCAGAAAATATCTTATTTTTGAATGTATGCATTATTTGTATTCTGGAATGTATCTGAAATGTTTTAAACTGCAGATTTAGCTTTCCATCTTTCACAAAAAAGAGATGAAACAATTTTTCATTCATATCTCATTTTATTAAGATGATAACTGATTGCTCAAATGTAATCCAGGAATAAGCAAGACAGAACTTGTTAACGAAAGGAACTTTTTGAATAATGCCCATCTGGTGCAGAACAAACATGTGCTACAATTAAAAAGAATAAATATTTCTTTAGAAAGTATTTGCTGTTAGGTGGTAATACACTACTACATAATCAAAGGTTATCAGAAAAGAGTGTTCCAATGAGATAAATTGTGATAGATGACAGTATTATGTAATCTAGATTTATGTTTTTTGTTTGCTTCAGAAAAGATTCTTGTTTTGCTTTTGAGCCAAGGGAATATTTTAGAAAATCATGATGGAACTGGACTATTTATGATTCTTTTATCTCAGCATTCAAGATCAATGAAATTTTTTTAAAAAAAACCATTGCCTGGTTTTGTATCCAAACATTTAGGCTGAACTTAATGGTCTCATGGAATATTCACACTAGATGACATTCTAAATTGCTATGGACTTTCTCAGTGGGTTTTCTTCATTTTACGGTTGAAGAATGACTTTTTGAGCTAGTGGCATAGCAAAGAAAATATGGTAGTTTTGATTTCTTCATCTGCCATACACTCTGTCCTCCTGGACCTTCCTCTTGAACATCCATTGTGGCAAAAATTCACTGACTTCTTCCCCTGTGGCTCCTCTAGGAACTGGAATATCTAAACAAGTGGGGTCTCAACATTTTCCGGGTTGCTGACTATTCCAACAATCGGTCACTCAGCTGCATCATGTATACAATATTCCAGGTAAGGTTTGCAGAGGCCACTATTCCCTCCCCTGCTAGCCATGCACATGGACACACCTCTCAGTCACATATCTGGTTTGGTCCAGTAGTACTGTTGAGAATAGGCCTGAGAATGCTATACAGTTTGAAGCCTGACCTTTTTTAAAGAAATTCACTCTCTAAACTATTTCAGTGAAATATTGAGTTGGATACAGAAATGAGTCAAAAAGCAACATTCGCAACAATATAAACAGGGCTGATTTATTATGTGGGCAGCATCCTAAGCATTTTAATTGAAGAAAGCGTTTTCTGCTTTGATTTGAGGTTTAGCTGCAGCTTCTGAAAGCTATCATTCTGTATTCTGAGATGTGGGGTTTCCAGGTTCTTTCCCTATAGTCTATAGGAAAAATATAATCAGGAATGTAACCAGTACTGCTTGTCCTCTCTGTAGAAAGTGCCTTCAAAAAAAGTAATCCATTTACAATTAATTGTTCAATCTGACAGCCTGATTAGACCAAAACTACCATCATTCCAGCCAGCATAGCCAATGTACTGAAAAATCGGTGGCCACACATTTGGGGAGTTTTATCTCTAGAGAATTTATTTTTTCATGAATCTGCAAAAGTGCGAACTTTGCCAAAACACCAGCAGGCTGGAAGTTAGGATTGGAATTAGAGTTAGAAGAAATGGCAGGATTATTTTTGCTTTTATTCATGTACAGCACTCTATATAATGGGGGGACTTGAATACACACAAAGTAATTATGATGCCTGGGAAGTAAGTCTGCTGAATCCCATGTGGTTTCAAAACATGGAAAGGGAGGATCTAGACTCACGGCGGTGGTAGAGGTAGCTCTTGTTCATCGCTTCCAGGTATAATTATAATTATTGCTTAGGAGCTGGAGTATATCACACAGTTTTCCTTTTCAGGGGAGGTTGCCGTTTGTTTGGGGAGGGTAAAGATTCTAGTGCTCATTTTTCAGGAGCCAGTGTCCATAGAAGAAGCTGTAAACTGCCGCTTTTCTATTTCAACCATTGATTACCTTTTCTTTCTTTCCCCATAGGAAAGAGACTTGCTGAAAACTTTTAAGATCCCTGTGGACACATTAGTCACTTATATCATGACACTAGAAGATCACTACCATGCTGATGTGGCCTACCACAACAGTCTCCATGCTGCTGATGTTACTCAATCCACGCACGTCCTCCTGTCTACACCAGCCTTGGATGTAAGTCATGATCTGTTGCAGTTTATGAGTAGGAAATGTGGGGATCCAACACCGCCTTTGCTTCAGGCTCTCTGAGGGGATGGTTCCCAGAGTCCCAAAGGACGGGGAGTTTCTGTACTTTTCCCTGTTTCATTTGGAACAGCAGTGGGAGGCAGATTAACTTACAATTGACTGATTGTTATGACTTGTATTAGAGCAACAGCACTCACTTATATACCGCTTCACAGTGCTTTACATACCTCTCTAAACGTTATGCTTTGTAATACCCATAATACTGGGTATTTTGCTTCCATTATAAAATTTTATTATGCCTTACATTGAAGCTTGCTGAATTTTTATAAATGCTTACTATTGCTCTGAGCAGTAGTGGATCACCATCTAGAGCGGCAACACACATATTTTGGGGATCCAAATTCTAACCCCAGTTAATTGCTTTTTATTTGCTGGCAGAAGTTCTTCCATGAAACAAGGCAGAGGCACCAGGTGTTCATTCCCTTTTTCCTTTACAGGCTGTCTTCACTGACCTGGAGATCTTGGCTGCAATCTTTGCTGCTGCCATTCATGATGTGGACCATCCGGGTGTCTCCAACCAATTCCTGATCAACACCAGTGAGTGAAGGCCACACTGAACATAAGCGCGGGGGGGGGGGGAGGCAGAGTAGCAAGGAGTCAAAAATATCAGGGATAGGTGCAATGTGGCCAGGATATATGTGCCTTGCATACAGGTTAATCTAGATAGAAAGAGAATTGCAAAATGTCTTCCTCTCCTCCACACAATTGAATATTGTCTTCTCCAAATTAATACTTTCTGGATAGGTTGGACATACTTTGTAAGACAAACTGTACACTTTGGAGGAATCACAGAGAAATTTCTGCTCTGTTTTGGTGAAGATCTCGTTGTCTCTATCAATTAATTAACTGATCTTAATGCTGCCTTGTTTTCATGCTCAACTGTTGACCTGAGAGAACTGCCTCTCCTAGGGATCCTAACATCTGAAAAGATTCCCGTGAAGCAGTGCGGCTTTTCAAAAAGCCTGGTCTCTAGTCATACAGCTATTTACATTGTTAACAGGGATTCTCCGTTGTGCTCAGAAACATAAACCAATGGCCAGCAGACATAGTGCAACAAGAGAGTTGCATGCATTTTGTAACAGGCCTTGACTAGTTGTCTGGCTACAGTATTCTGGATTAGATATCTGAGTATTTATCACATAAATATATGTGATATATTTATGCGTATATTAGCATAGTTGCAAACAGGATATAACTAAGGCATCTGGTACTGTAGTCAAATCTGATATTTCTAATAATTGGTGAAAATAGAATATTTGCAGTGCACTTCTGATCATCACTGAAAACTAGGCATCCAAATTCAGCATTGAGTCCAGGAATATCTCCATACCATAAACTCCCAGGACAGTTTAAACTTCTATTTCTCTTGATTTCTCTTCTGTACCTTCATCTTACCTGGATTGAGCTGTTTGCCCTCATCTAATCCAGCTAAAAGTCTAATGTCTTTTTGCACTTCTAGCCTGTCTGTCACCCTGCTCACTTCCCACTCCTGCCTAATTGACTAATAGATAATTATCTTGTCTGGAATTTCCCTCTTTTAGCTTCAGCCTCAAAGAAAAATCAGATACAAAAGATGTCAAGTAGGTTGTGTGCCCTGGAAAAGTCAATCAAAAAAACGGATGAGTTAACTCTAAAGAGGAATTAGTCCGTATATTAATTTTGATACTATTTTTCTAGCTTAAATGCTTAGGTTCTGTGTAGATGGAGTTCTGTGTTAGTAATAAGCATCAGATGGAAGGAAACCATATGAGAATACAATAGAATCCATCTTTCTTTATCACCAGGTCTTTTTATCCTATTACCCAAACCCAAGCTTGGTTTTGCTCAGTATTTTCCCAAAGGGCCAATAAATGAGCGTTGTAGACAATTTAATATAGAATAAACTCAGTTTAGACCTTTGGGGCACTCTAAATCACAGGACTGTATATAAATAGAAGAAAACTTAAAATTAAAACTGGCATTCTTATGTCAAAAGTAGAATAAAAATACCTAAATTATCTGTATGATCAGTGCAGGAGGACTTTTTCATTATGTTACAGATGAAAGAAGTACTGATACTGGGAGTGAGGAAGGGCACACAGTGTCAGCAGTGAGGATGGGAACGAAAAGAAAGGTCTATGACTTTCCTAGCCTAGTGCACATCTGGAATACACTAGAATGGGGGAAATTGTTCTGTAAAGTCAGGCCCCTGGATTCAAAAGAGATAGTGATTTTTCATGGAATGTTGTTAAATTGTTTTGCTTGCTTTTTTATTTATTTATTTATTCATTCATTCATTCATTCATTCATTCCATTCAGTCACATCCATTTTCAAAGACTTCCCTGCAGTTTTCTTGGTAATGTTTTTTAGAAGTGGTTTGTCATTGCCTCCCACTTAGAGCTGAAAGCGACTGGCCCAAGATCACTCAGCTGACTTTGTGCTTAAGGTGGGAGACTCACGGTCTCCTGGTTTTTAGCCTAATGCCTTAACCACTGTACCAAACAGGCTCTCAGGTTCTTTTTTATTAGACATCTAGAAAGATTATTTGCTGTGTTCCGTCTGCTGCTTCGAACACCGTTGGCCATATTTCCATGAGCAAATAAAATCCTCCTATTCTCCATAACCTTCTCATCGTCTGTGACTCTTCCGTGCAGATTCAGAGCTGGCATTGATGTACAACGATGAGTCTGTTCTGGAGAACCATCACCTAGCTGTGGGTTTCAAGCTGCTGCAGGAAGAGAACTGTGACATCTTCCAGAACCTGAGCAAGCGACAGCGACAGACCTTGCGCAAGATGGTCATTGACATGGTAAGCTTGGGATGGAAGTGGGACTGGTTCTTGTGGAAAAACCTGCTTTTTATCTCCTGCAGCATTTCCAATTACAAGTCCCATCCTCCTTTACTGGGAGAAACCTGATCATTTTTGGAAGAGTCTGGATGACATATGGAAGAAACGTTGTGTTTCCTAGCAGACCACGTAACATGGGAAACGGATGGTTTTCTCTTGGAGAAATATAGTTATGCCATCCCTGCCATTCCTCTGCTTCTTCCTGCACGTGTGTTACTGCTGCATCTGAGGTTCAAAAATTAACACAGAAAAGATTAACCTAAGAAATTATACACAGCCAAATCTCAACCGGAGGAAAGGAGGCTTCCCTGGAAAAGTCAGTAGCTAAGTTAAATTGATTTCTAACCAGCTTCCATATGGGGAGCTCTTTGACCAGAATCTGCTGGTCCTCCTTTTTTACTGATATTTGGCTAGCTTCTTAGCAGGATAGATATCTGAAAGAGACCTAAACCCATTTTAGTCCATAATAATTACTCCATAATACCAGAACCAATCTCAGATGCCCTAATTGGAAGTGGGTATCTCTCCTTTATTCTCTTTCTCCCAACCCATCCAACTCTTCCTTTCTGAAGGCCAACTCAGTGAGTTGGTGTGAAAGCCACAGGATAGGTAGCAGCCCTACATCTCAATCAAAAAGGGCCAGCTAATCCATGGTGGGGAAGTGGGTTACTTAAGGAAAGCAGCAGAAGGCTTTACTAATTAAGAGGTACACTTACCTTTGCAAGGTCAGCATTATGGGCCAACAATCTAGAACTAGGGCCCATTGGCCCTGTTGAATGTCAAAGGCAAGCCAAGCAGATTAGAATAAGTTGCTTTTTCTCCTTTAGGGAGAAAGCCTTAATTTAAAAAACAAAAACACATGTTTTATATTAAATTCCAAGAGAAAGAACAGCAGAGAACAGCTAACTGGCACCCGTGCATACATGGAGCCCTTAATGCTGGAAGATTTTAATCTGTTGGGCTTTTCAGAGTTTCTTCTTCTGTTTTAAGAAAGATTTTGACAAATAAAGTGCAAACTTGTTGAGATGTTGATGCTGTGCAGAATTCTAGAAATGAAAAGGGCAATTCCAGTGGTATTGGAGCTAAAGATTTCAGTTGGGCAAGAGCCCTTATTAGAAGATCTGCTGTAGAACATAAGCAGAGTGCTGAAAGAATACTAATTAAGTATTTCTAAATAAGTCACCGAATACCCTAATATAGCTATAGTTATATTTATTGGATGCAACTGTGGGTTTAGTCCAGCAATCAGTGAATAGTATCAGACATTTCTTAAACCTAAAGTAAAAAATTAAATAATATATGAGGATTTTTTAAAAAAAAATCTAATTTCTTTCTGAACTACATTTTGAAGAGATGGAGGGGGGAGGGAAAGGTAAAAAAAAATCCCTTTGTTTTTTAAGTACAGAAATTCATTTAACCAAGAATAGGCCAGGTGAAACATAGATACTGCTGTGAAGATTTTACCCCTTAATTATTTTTATTTTATCCTGACAATCGATTGTTCATAGCAATTTCTAGTGACTTTAATGTCAGAACCTCCAAACTGTCTGGTTAGCACCTTTTCCTAGTCTCTAATAGGAACAGATGTTTTCAAAATATTGGAAAGCGGATTCTGAACTATGTCCTCTAGGACTTTCTCTAGGAACCATAGAATGACTTAAAAGAATCAATATATATTGAATCTGGTGATTCTTAAGGATCTTGAAGTTTTTTCATGAAATGGATATGATAGATAGGAACTTAACTTGGCTCAAGAGCCAGGCTGTGTCATGAGATGGCATATGATCTTGGCAGATTGGTCTTTGGCGTACTGAGAATTTCAAAGTTAACCCATCTACCACAACCTCTGGCTTATGGACTCACAAAAGCTTGCTAAGATCCTACCCATAAAAGTGTCTTTATGAGGTTCGAAGGTGGGCACGTATCAATGTGTGGTGTGAAGCGAGTGAGCAGCAACACCTTTGTTTATTTCAGTAATTATTTTACAGGTCTTGGCCACCGACATGTCCAAACACATGAGTCTCTTGGCTGATCTGAAGACAATGGTGGAGACCAAAAAAGTGACCAGCTCAGGTGTACTTTTGCTGGACAATTACACTGACAGAATGCAGGTGAGTGAGGCCCATCCACCTTGAATTGAGAGAAAGGAAAAAAGGACAAGGTAGACAGCTGGGAGCTAAACTTTTCCCAGACAATCTAAGTAAGGATGACGCAAAACTGGCATTGAGCTAAGAAGATGGCCTAGGGCTAGGCAACCTGCAAGGAATTCAGTTTCTTCAAAAGAAGTGTAGTTCGGGTTGAGATCCCAGTCCATCACTTAAGGTTTTAGTTTGTCAAGGAAAATTAGAGGGGTTTTTTGTGTTCTTTTGTTCAAAATGCTTCTGTTCCACCTGACAAAATACCTCTGGGCATCAAAAAGTTTTACCAGTGGTTACACTGTAACCTCCTGGCCCACCATATATTACAGCATTTTTCCTAGCTGTTGAGATAAAATAGGAAATGAATCATGATAACTTTATAGTTAATTTTTTAAGGTGGTTTGCACATGCCATTCCTTTCCTGAATTTTCCATTTGCCAGTCTCCTATTGCAGGGGGCCCCAACCTCTGGGCTGTAGCCCACTACCAGGCCGTGGCCTATTCAGAACTGAGCCACGCAAGCAGTTGGCCAACTTATGCAAGCAGTGGGCCAGCATGCATGCACATGCGCACGCAGCTGAACTCCCGCAAGTTGAACTGTGCACACATGCATTGCGCGCTAGTCTGCTGCTCGCACAAATCGAGCTGGGCATACATGAATGTGCCGGCCGCCACTCATATGGCCCAGCTTCCCTCTCCCCCTTCCCACTGGCCTGCCAAGCCGCAAAGGTTGAGAACCACAGTCCTATTGGGTTCTGTGTCAGAGAAACGTTCCATTGAGGCCCTTTAGTCTTATTCACACACATCCCACAGCATTCAATTTTTAGAGCTTTGATACTCTGAACTGTGCTGATGGGGTGCAGGCAGAGGTATCACACACTGAAGCCTCTGACTGGCCGTGTATTTTTGCCAATTTCCTCAGGTCCTACGGAACATGGTTCACTGTGCAGACTTGAGCAACCCCACAAAGCCTTTGGAGTTGTATCGGCAGTGGACGGATCGGATCATGGAGGAGTTCTTCAGGCAGGGTGACAAAGAACGGGAGCGAGGCATGGAGATCAGCCCTATGTGTGACAAGCATACAGCCTCTGTGGAGAAGTCACAGGTATGTGTGGTAGCTGTGTGGGATCATAGCTCAGTTAAGGAGGAAGAAAGATCCTGTTCCTATTCCCTTTACTTTTTCTCTTCTGCCAGCATTCAGAGCAGGAATAGCCTTGTCTGGAGGTGGGTATTTGTTGCTATAGAAACCTTAGCTCCATTATACAAGGCAGCTCCATCCCAATGTTGCAGTACAGGAACATGGGAGTTTCATTATATAAGACACTTGCAAATAAGAATGTATTGGAGATTATACTATTGTGTGTCCCTTGTGCCCCCCCCCACCAAAAAATTGTACCTAAAGAAAGTAGCTGAGCTTGATCATTGAAGCAGAAGTAGCTGATGTTGATGCTCTCCACCGTGACAGCATCTTAAATGGCCTTTCAGACCAAGCCCATTTTAATCAGGAGGATTCAGCCTGGACTCTACATTTAACCAGCAATCTGAGTTCCCACTCCGTGGCTCCTTGGATTAAATCTGTACTAGGAATACATGTTTTTACCATCCCCACTTATTATTTAGGATGTTATACATGGTGCTGTTTAACTGGGCAAAAGTGAGGAGTAAGTCCAACATTACACTTAAAAATGCTCTACACCATTTTAAAATACCAGCACAATTCTGGTATGAATGTGGATTGAAACGTTTTAAAATACACGTGATTGTGTTTCTTGGGGTGGGTGGAGGAGAATCTTCTTCCAGATTGCAAGATTGCTTTTTCTCTTGTAGGACTGCTTCTTCTATATCCTGTTGTTTTCGAAATGTTAAAACAATTCTTATATGTCATTCTGGAGAGCAAAAGCATTTTCTCTGTATGTATAGTATGGTTATTTAATACATAGTATTAGTGCTAATTTTACCATTTAAAGATATATTTGTATACATAAAAGGCAAAGGTGCAGAATTTGCTCTAAAGCCTTTCTCAACTTAGATCTCTCCCCTCCTCCAAATTATCAAGATTCCACAAGAGTACTAAATTTAGAAGTATCAGAGCAGACAATGAATTCCACTTTATACTTGCAGTCATGAAACAAATTTACCTCTTGAGTAGGGAGGAAGTCTTAGGGGGAAAAAACAGGTTTGTGCCTCCACCTGTTCTAATATTCTATTTGGCAAATTCTTGAATTGTACAGTACTTGAGAAACTTGGATGAAGGCTCCAGTGATGGAAGGATGGGACACACCCACCTTTTTTTCCCCATCGCTGACATTATTTAGGGACATCTCTCTCTCTCTCTCCCCCCTCCTGGATCCTCTTAGGATGGTGAACATGAATATATGTGTGGCTAGCCTGCTCCAGGGGAGACTCAGGCTGGTTTTGCAGGTGATCCTTTGCTGGGTGTTCTTCAATAGTTGGGTGGGAATGGGACACTCCCATGTGTTTTTTCAGTCTAACCTCTCCTCCTCCTTCTCCTTCAGGTGGGATTCATTGACTACATCGTGCACCCACTGTGGGAGACTTGGGCAGACCTTGTCCACCCTGACGCCCAAGACATTTTGGACACGCTTGAGGATAACAGGGACTGGTATCACAGCATGATCCCCCAAAGTCCCTCCCCACCCCCAGACGATGCCGAGAAGGATGAGGAGGCCTGTCTGGAGAAATTCCAGTTTGAATTAACCCTGGAGGAGGAAGGGGAGGACTCGGAACCATCCGAGAAGGACCGCAGCAGTCCTGGAGAGGAGGACAACAGTTACTACACAGCCACAGAAGACCAACACGAGTCCCAGGACGGACAGGACAGACGAACGGACAGTACAGCAGTTGGCACATCCCTTGGCGCATCATGACTGTGGGAAGGGACAACTGAAGAAAGCAAGCTCACCTACAGACACACACACAGACACGGAAGTTTTCATGAGGGAGGGGTGGGGATAAAAAAAATGGAAAAAAACTCATTTTTTTATTTTTATTGTATTTTTTATAAAAGGAAAACTAAGAAAAAAAAGGGGGGGGGGGTTGGGGAATACACACAACAACTGTAGAACCAGGTTGGCCCCAGCAGAAGGTAGTAGCCTACTGCTGTAGTGACTGGCCCAAGCACTCCAGAAATACTTTTTCATTTCTTTTTTCCCTTCCCTTCATTATTTCTGACTGGTTGTTTTTAATTACTCCATTTTGCTAACTTTTTTAGACTTCTGCAACCAGGAAAGGGAAGAGGGCACTAACGGTATGAGGCATGTATGTAGCAGCAGAGAGGCAAAGCCAATAGAACTATTTTTAAAATAGTGGTTTTGCTTATTTGTAGTAAAAATAGATGCAGCGCAGGAGCTTGACGACAAAAACTGGTAACCATTTGTCACAGATACACACAGAGAGAGAGAGGTTCCTGTAGGGCAGTGTTTTTCAACAGCAGCAACTTTTTAAGATGTCTGGATTTCAACTCTTAAAATTCCCTATCCAGCCATCCTGGCTGGGGGGGATTCTGGGAATTAAATCCCCACACATCTTACAAAGATGTAGAGGTTGAGAAACCCCGCTGCAGTTCCTTTGTTCCAGATATGCCCTCCCCATTTAGCTCATGTACTTGTGCCTTTATTTCATTGGAGGGAAACCTCTGAAGCTCTTCAGATGGTGTCAGAATCTAACTCCTCTTCTCCAATGTCCCTTTAGAATAGCTGGAGGTTAAGAGTCCAGCGCCATCTGGAGGTCCAGATATTTTTCTCTGTGCCCTCCAAAGCACAGCTCTCCCAGGTAGGATGTTCAAACATTGGAGAAGGGAAAGTGAGAGGAAAAGTATTGTTTTTATTTTTGTAAGTTATTTTTTAAGCTAGTAATTTATTTTTGTGAATTTACATAGATTTGATTTTTATTATGGACTGATGAGAAAAAGTTTGCCCTTGAGGATTTTGTTGCTGTTGCTTGGTGTGTGTTTTTTTTCTCCTTTCTTGGAGCAGTTCTTTCTATTTTCTGTTTAATGTATGGTTTGCAGGTTTTTAATTTTTTGCCTACAATGCCATAGATTTCCCCCAGAGCAAATGGGAGAAGATACTACTTTTACAAAAAATGAAACTGAAAAGGGAACAAGAATCAAAAACATTCTATCTACGTTTCCAAATAGCCGAGTCTTCCTCCATTCCTCATTTTGCACAAAAATAAAAAGGCAATACAGCCAGGATCAAATATTTATGCTGGCCAGCTTGCTTAGACAGCTCTCAGCTGGGGACCTCAGGTGTGAGTATTCCTTCCTTCAGGTTGGGGACGGAATCAGCAGATATGAGGACTGGAGAGAGGGGTGGGTGTACGCTGAGTGGTGTTTGTTTTATCAATGATTTGCAATTTATCTTCTTTATGTCTCTGGATGCTGCTTGATCAATCTCTGAAACGCAGTGCTCCCAGGTTTCTCAGCTACAAAAAACAGTTGTATTGAAAGGATCTTCCCATTTCCCCCAGAAGAATAGAAAATTAGCAGCCTTTCCTAATGATTTTTCTGTGTGATGTGGTGTATCAACAAGGCTGGAACACAAACGTTGATTTAGAGTTGAGATTGGGAGAAGGGGGAGAGATGGGTTTGGTTTTAATCTGTTACGATTTTCAGGAGAAAGAGCCTCTAACATCCTTGGCTCCAGAGATGGGGAATCTGTCTCGGACACCCTCAGCTACATAGTAATGGATGGAGTGAGGTGGAGCCCATCTTTTTTATCGGCTCAGAAAGCCACATCACTTAGCTATAAAGTAGGGAACAAATTGCTTGGATCAGAGTTGAGACCCCATTCTAGGAGGTCAGGATAATCAAATGAAAAAGTCACCTGCCTTGAAATCAGATTTGGAGACAATTTTACCAACAGTGGTTAGCCAAAGGGAATCTGACAGATTTCCTTGTTCCTATAGAGGCTATGAAAGTAATCCCTGAGTCTTGTTCCACATGTTACCATGCCAGATCCCTTTCCTCCATGTGTGTAATAGCGTTTCTTCCCAGAAAATAAAAACTAGGCCCCTCCATGAACCTGCTCTTGATTATCATTTCCCAGGAGAAATCTGTTTGGCTGCTTATTTTCTTTACTTTAACTAACAAAATAGTTTGATTTGCTAAATGCAGCATCCTTGCATCTTGGCATTGAAGGGAGAGCATTTTCTCATTCCCAAAATGCATTGCATCAAATGGATATTTGCTGCTAGGTCACTAGTCTTTCACTGGACAAGGAACACTGTGGGATCCAGTCTTCAAAGTTGCAGGACCACGATCCCCTTGGCATTGTTTCGCTGCCTCTGTGGACTAGTCTTGGACTGGTTGATGTGTGGGTATATTCCCCACCACTTGCTAAGCAGCCATGCCTCCTGCTGTTTACTTGTAGGAAGACAGCTGTAGTTTTGGATTTGTTGGTTTCTTGATTGCAGAGCCATTGAGTGTGTAGCCTAGTTCAGCTTTTCCAGATTCCTGGGAGAGAAGACAAACTCCCGCCCTCCTTTGTCCCTCTTATATGGTTACCCAGCACCAGTGCACGACTCCCATAATCCCCCCCACCGACACCTCAGAAGAGATGAGGGTGAAGCAATAACAACTAAGCCCTTTTCCTGCCCCCATTGCTACAACTGAGCTGTTGAACCAAAGCCAAGTCTCCTCTTTTGCAGCAAAGGTCTCATTCCGCACATGGACGCCACCCACTTTGCATTGGCTGCTCCTTAGCCAGCTCTCTTAGCAAAGTAATGTCTCAGGCCTAGGTCAGCCCGAGCTTGGGAGAGGAAGTTGTGGGATATGCTCTGGGGCTGCTGCTCGGGTAGACCTGAGGATTGCCAAGTGCTGGCCTGAGACCGTGACAGCTTTGGTTAGCCACATCATACCCTTGGAGAAGGCCAGCCGCACACAGAGCCCTGGCGAGGTTGCTATCCCTTGGTGGCCGGCCTGCCAAGAGTTGCCATCCCTGCATTGCCAGTCTTTGCAAGAAGGCCAGTGTAGGGCACCTCCTTTCCAACCCAAGGGAGAGAAAACATGGCCATTTCTGAACACAGTACTGTAGCTATTTTCTTTGTATTTTTACTTTTCTTTCTTGAAGCCTCAATTGCAAGGGATAAATAAGAAAGAGAATCTCTTTCTAATTTTCTGTATAGCTTTTATTTTTGTATGCCGTTCTGTTCCACAAGTTTGTTGGGTCAGGTTTGGACTGTACATAATTGTGAATAAGCAGATTGTAAATTATTCTAAAAAGTAAAAAGAATCTTGCAAACAAGATCCCCTTTCCCCTGCCGACCCTTCCTCTCCCACCCTCCACTCCTGCCAGGGGCCACACTGTGCTCGAGAGCATCCAGGGAGAAGAAAAGAGAGCTCTGGGAGACTCTCCAGCTGCATTTTCTCAAGGTCTCTCGGGCACAGACCCCACTGCACCTCCCTCCACCATCCCTTTCTCCTGTCTGTGTATTTATGGTGTAATATAGACACACTGGACATTGTAGACTTGTCATTTTTCCTTGCAGTGTCGTTAATCCGCTGTTGCAATGTTCTCTCTCAGATGTTACCAAACCGTTCAACAGCCAAGCTCACAAATAAATCAGGAGGAAGGGATTCTCTGTGCCTCCAAAGACAACCTGGCTTCTCTGCAAGGCTGGGTGAATTGGGGAGGGGAGGGGAGAGGGGAGGGGGGGGGAAGGAAGCAAGATGCAGCTGCAGCCTTCTCCAAACTAGCAACTTCTCAAGGTGTTTTGACTATAGTTCCCATCATTTTGACTCGGTGATAACCCCATGGATGACTACTGTTTGTAGTCGGATGCGTGGGGAGAACACTAGGTTGAGCAAGCTATGGCAGTAATTTTCAACTGCTCAAATCATTAATAGGACAAAGAGAAATAGTATTTAAGCTAAAGGAATGCTATCCTCCAATGGATTCTTCAAAGACTTTTGTGCCTTAATGCTAGAAGGGCAAGTAGGGACTAAACTCACGAATGGAATGTTAAATGAATGAAATAATTTATTCCAAAGGATTAGGTTAGATAAAAGGAGAGGAAAAATGTGAAGGATGTGCCTTCATATATTGAGATTCTGAACCAGGATCCAACTGAGACCCTGTAAGTAAGAATAAAACGAAGATGAAACAAAGTTATTACTGGAGAGTGTGCTATAGGCACATCTGGATTATGTCTTCCTGGATTGAATTATGGAATCTTTGAGGAGGACAGTTTTATGGGAGACTTTTTAAGTGTTCCCAAATTCTTCAGTGTTCTTGTTTCATTTTCCAGAAGCATGAAGAAGGCAAGGGGACTGACTCTCTTAGATCTGATTCTGAGTCCTGATATATATTTGCACGCTGTACAATGAGAAGCAAAAAGGGGTGGGAGGAGCAGTTTTGGGAAATTGTGGATGCACAGGGAGTTTTCAATTAAAAGTGTAATGGGACGTGTAGGAAAAGAAGGGTAGCTGTAATAACTAAGGAGATTAAAGTTTAAAAGGTTGCAACACAAAAGGAACTTAGCCTTAGCAACATAACGGGGTTTTTGGCAAAGGAACCATGCATATAGTCTCCTTACCCTAGTACAGGGGTGTCAAACTCAATTTCATTGAGGGCCGTATCAGCATTGCGGCTGCTCTTGGGGGGGTGCGGCCTACGGGGTGGGTGTGGATGGAGTGGGTGTGGCCTACTGGGTGGGCGTGGCCAGCTCTACATCATTCACGTCAAGGGTGCCTGTGGGGGCCTGGGCAGGAGTGGGACAGATCTGAGAGTCTCTGGCAGAAGGGGGTGGGACCAGGGCAGAGCTCATCAAGCCGGATATGTGAAGTAGGCGAGGGCCATTTGCTGGCCACTTCCAAGCGATGGTGCATTTGTTCATTCCTCATATAGGGTGACACCTCCCCAGCATGCACCCAGGGGGTGGGGCTGACGCGGCAGGGGTTGGTT